TCTTCCAGCCCCGCCTGGCCGCGGTGCTGTGCCCCCTGCTCTGGGTGACCCTGCTTGGGCAGGGGGTTGGGCTGCGTGACCCACAGAGGGCTCTTCCACCCCGAACATTCTGTGATTCTATGGCTTGTTCCACAGACAAGTCTCATTTAGGGCTAAAGTATCGTCCTAATCCAACTGGCGACAGACCGAGCTCTGTGGAGCAGAGCTCACACATCATTTGTGGGCTCTGCTAACTCCATAAGGGTGCTGCCAAAGGGGATTAGTACAGAGCAGACCCATGTGCCTCTTCCAACTTCACAGAATCACAGAATCACAGAATCACAGAATAGTAGGGGTTGGAAGGGACCTCTGTGGGTCATCTAGTCCAACCCCCCCGCCGACGCAGGGTCACCTACAGCAGGCTGCACAGGACCTTGTCCAGGCGGGTCTTGAATATCTCCAGAGAAGGAGACTCCACAACCTCCCTGGGCAGCCTGTTCCAGTGCTCCGTCACCCTCAGAGGGAAGAAGTTCCTCCTCATGTTCAGACGGAACTTCCTGTGCCTCAGTTTGTGCCCATTGCCCCTTGTCCTGTCACTGGGCACCACTGAAAAGAGCTTGGCCCCATCCTCCTGACACCCACCCTTCAGATATTTGTAGGCATTTATAAGGTCCCCTCGCAGCCTTCTCTTCTTCAGGCTGAACAAGCCCAGTTCCCTCAACCTCTCCTCGTAGTGGAGATGCTCCAGTCCCCTCACCATCCTTGTAGCCCTCCGCTGGACTCTCTCCAGTAGCTCTTCATCCTTCTTGAACTGGGGAGCCCAGAACTGGACACAGTACTCCAGATGAGGCCTCACCAGGGTAGTGTAGAGGGGAAGGAGAACCTCCCTTGTCCTGCTGGCCACACTCTTCTTGATGCACCCCAGGATCCCATTGGCTTTCTTGGCAGCCAGGGCACACTGCTGGCTCATGGTTAACCTGTCGTCCACCAGGACACCCAGGTCCCTCTCCGCAGAGCTGCTCTCCAGCAGGTCCACCCCAAGCCTGTACTGGTGCATGAGGTTGTTCCTCCCCAGGTGCAGGACCCTGCACTTGCCCTTGTTGAACCTCTTCAGGTTCCTCTCTGCCCAGCTTTCCAGCCTATCCAGGTCACGCTGAATGGCAGCACAGCCTTCTGGTGTATCTACCACACCTCCCAGTTTGGTGTCGTCAGCAAACTTGCTGAGGGTACATTCTAACTCTTCATCCCGGTCGTTGATGAAGAAGTTAAACAAGACTGGGCCCAGTACTGACCCCTGAGGGACACCACTTGTCACCAGCCTCCAACTAGACTCAGCGCCGCTGATGACAACCCTCTGAGTTCTGCCATTCAGCCAGTTCTCTATCCACTTCACTGACCTTGGATTACTCAAGCTTGGTACAGGACTTGCTACTAAAACTCTGAAGATGAATAGTCCTCTGGAGGTAGCTGCTGCTCTCTCCCTGAGGCTCGGCTCCCTTCTAGTACACTTCAGGAGCCACCACGTGCAGCTCTGGCAACGTCACCTGAAGATCAGATCTACAGAGCAATGTGTTCTCTACCAACCCACCTGGCTCAAGAGAGGATTACAACATGAAATAACTTGGTTTTTAAAACGGAATTAACTAGGAGCACGAACACACCCCTGAGAAGCAAAACTGTATTACCCTCACTACAGTCCCCTGGGATGTGGCTGTGATGCCCACAGACTTACTCTGCATCAGCCCTTTTTATTTTTTGGCAGACACGGTCCTGTTGGCTAGTCCTCTGGCAAAGCCAATTGCTACCTCCTCCAAGTACTCAATCGTCCGTGCTTCTGGAGTCTTCACACCCGGCCCTGTGAACAAAGGAGAAGTCTTGAGGAAATGCAGAAGTCATCACAGATGGCTGATGATACAGAAAAGCAAGGATGAGACAGCATCATGATGTTCCTTTGAATTCCTACCGCTCTGTTCCCCCCTGCCTGACTTTTCTTGACTATGAATGGAAAGGCTCAACAGGGAACGACATGGAGGCCCCAACGTGTTTAATACCCACGGCATTATACAGAAATGCCAACACGCCAAGTCCCGATGGGAGCAGACAGCAGTTTGCCACCTAAACATCAACACCACTTTCACAGAGCCACGGAACAGCTCTGGCTGGAAGGGGACATGGAAGGCCATCTGGTCTGACCCACCGTGCAAAGCAGGGCCAAGTTCTAAGCTAAACCCAACTCTGGAATTCAATGAGGCTGCTCGGGGTCACGTTCTGCCAAGTCTCTGAACAACTCCAAGGATGGAGGCCCCATCACCTCCCTGGACCTCTGTATCAGTGCCTGACCACCTTGTCACAGATCGTGCCCTTTATTCCTCAACCTTTTACTGTGCACAATTGTAGGCACCCCTCTATCTCAACAGAACTTAGGTGTTCCACCTCGCCTGCCTCTTGTTGCACCTCTCCTTTCCTACGTGGTACAGTAAGTCTGCACAACTACGTTGTGCCAACGTACAGACAACGGTTATGAAGCACTGTGTCCCCGAAAGTCACCCGGACTGGAGCTCATGTCCAATGAAACCTGAACCTTTGACCTCAGGTGCAGGAAATCAGGTTCCAGCTGAACCCGAGGAAGAACTTCTTCCCTCTGAGGGTGACGGAGCCCTGGCCCAGGCTGCCCAGGGAGGCTGTGGAGTCTCCTTCTCTGGAGATAT